GCTTCATACCACGCCACTTCTCACAGCGATTTCTTCTCGACATACAAAGCCGGAGACTTTGGTATGGTGGAAATGGGAAACACTAGTTCTTCCAAGATCGCGGGAATTGGTGATATTCATATAAAAACAAATCTTGGGTGTACATTGGTATTGAAGGGTGTACATTGGTATTGAAGGATGTCCGACACGTGCCTGACCTTCGGCTAAATCTACTTTTCGGGATAGCCCTCGACAGACAGGGCTACGATAACCACTTCAGTAATGGCACATGGAAGCTCACAAAAGGTGCCTTGGTTGTCGTCCGAGGACATATTTGTGGCACGTTTTATAAGACCCATGTGAAGGTTTGCTCAGACAGCCTCAATGTAGTTGAAAATGAGGCTTCACCAAATCTGTGGCACTAGAGACTTGGTCACATGGGAGAAAAAGAATTATTTACCTTGGCAAAGAAGAATCTCATCACAGTTGCCAAGGATGTTGCACTAAATCCTTGTGATCATTGCTTGTTTGGTAAACAACATCGAATCTCGTTCAGTTCCTCTATGAAGAGGAGATCAGAGTTGTTGAGCCTAGTACACTCTGATGTTTGCGGTCCTCTGGAGGTGGAATCATTGGGCGGCAACATATATTTTCTGACCTTTATTGATGATGCTTCATGGAAGGTATGGGTGTACTTCCTAAAGACGAAGGACCAAGTGCACGAATGCTTCAAAAGATTCCATGCCATGGTAGAGCGAGAAACATGAACGAAGCTAAAGTGTCTCCGAATAGACAATGGAGGCGAATATACTTCTAGAGAGTTTGAAGCATAGTGTGGAAATTATGGTATCAAACATGAGAAGACTGTTCCACGTACCCCACAGCACAATGGAGTAGCGGAGATGATGAATCGAACCATTGTAGAAAGAGCTCGATGCATGCTCAGTATGTCAAAGCTGCCAAAGCCATTTTGGGGTGAAGTTGTTCGTACCGCCTATTATCTGATAAACAGATCACCATCAGTACCATTGAATTTTGATATTCCGGAGAAGGTGTGGTCTGCTAGGAATCCTCCTATGCTCACTTAAGAATTTTTGGGTGCAAAGTATTTGCACATGTATCCAAGGAGCAAAGGCAGAAACTTGACGTCAAGACCACTCTGTGCATCTTTATAGGCTACGGAGATGAAGAATTTGGATACAGATTGTGGGACTCAAAGGCCAAAAAGATCATCAGCAGCAGAGACGTGGTGTTCCATGAAAACCAGGCATATGAGGATTTTGAAAATCCCACAAAGTCCAGCAATTCTAGTTCCAGTGCACAGGAAATTGTTTCAGACCCTACACCATTACAGTTCGCCACAGATAATGACAAAGTGCAGGATGAAACTATAGAAGCAAAGCAAGATGATGATGAAGGTGTCGAGTAGGGGGAGCAACAACCCCCTCCACCAAATGTTGCAGGACTATCACAGCAGCCAGAGGATGGTGTACCTCATATAGCTTACGAGCCTCAATCACAAAGATCCGAAATAGGACGCATTTCGTCGAGTAAATATCCGGAGTTAGACTATATTCTGCTTACTAATGAGGGGGAGCCAGAGAGCTTCTAGGAGGCATAAGCTCATACGGATAAAGACAAGTGGATGCAAGCCATGCAGAATGAGATGGATTCCCTGCAGACAAATCAAACCTATGAGCTTGTGAAACTTCGAAAAGGCAAGAAAGCACTGAGGAATAAATGGGTGTTCAAGCTGAAGAAAGATGGTAGTGGAAAATTGGTGAAGTATAAAGCTCGATTGGTCGTTAAAGGATTCCAACAGAAGAAAGGTATTGACTTTGACGAGATTTTCTCACCAGTTGTTAAGATGACCTCAATTCGAGTCATTCTCAGATTAGTAGCCAGTTTAAACTTAGAGCTTGAACAAATTGACGTGAAAACTGCATTTCTTCATGGAGAACTGAATGAAGAAATCTATATGGAACAACCGGAAGGTTTCAAAGTTCCAAGAAAGGAAAATCTGGTCTGCAAGTTGAAGAAGAGTCTATACGGCCTCAAACAAGCACCCCGATAATGGTATAAGAAATTTGACTCATTCATGGTGGGTCAAGGCTACAAGAGGACTGTTGCAAATCAGTGTGTTTACATTCAGAGATTCTCGGATGGCAATTTCGTTGCACTCCTACTTTATGTTGACGACATGTTGATCGTCGGAAAGGATGTAATAAAGATTAGCCAGTTGAAGAAGGAACTGTCCAAGTCCTTTGACATGAAGTACTTAGGCCCAGCTCAGTAGATATTAGGCATCCAGATTGTTTGTGATAGGAAAACAAGAAATTGTGGCTATCACAGGAGAAATACGTTGAATGGGTGATCCAGAGGTTCAACATGGATACTGCCAAGCCAGTCAGCATCCCACTAGCTAATCATTTCAAGCTGAGCAAGAATTTATGTCCCTCATCAAAGAAGGAGATAGAAGATATGACACTGATTCCTTACTTTTCAGCAGTTGGGAGTCTAATGTATGCAATGGTGTGTACAAGGCCAAATATTGCCCATGTAGTGGGTATGGTGAGTAGATTCCTTTCCAATCCAGGGAAAGAACACTGGGAGGCGGTCAAGTGGATTCTTAAATACGTTAAGGGTACATCGAAGATATGTCTGTTTTACGGGGGAGTTGAACCAGTTTTGGAAGGCTATACAGATTCAAATATGGTAGGAGATCTTGATGGTAGAAAATCTACATCAGGATTTCTGTACACTTTTGTAGGGGGAGCTGTGTCATGGCAGTCAAGGTTGCAGAAGTGCATAGCTTTATCCACGACAGAGGCAGAGTATATTGCAGTAGCGGAAGTTGGTAAGGAAATGTTGTGGTTAAAGCGGTTTCTCCAAGAACTAGGTATTAAGCAGAAGGAATACAAGGTGCATTGCGATAGTCAAAGTACTCTGAACTTGAGCAAGAACTCAATGTACCATTCTCGGATGAAGCATATTGATATTCGTTATCATTGGATACGCGAAGTAATTGAGCAATAGTTATTGAAACTAGTGAAGGTCCACACAAAGGAGAATCCAGCAGACATGTTGACAAAGGTTGTCACTTGGGAGAAGCTTGAGCTGTGCAGAGACATAGTCGGGATGAATGTCTAATTACATTCTCTTCTGATGGTTCTGGAGGGGGAGAATTGAAGGTCCAACTCCATCAGAAGGCTACACAGTAGCTGAATCTACTACCCAGTAGCTCATGCCAGTAGCCACCCTATGGACAGCTTGCCGGTGGATTGGTTGGCGGTGGACAGGTAAAGCTTTGACAAAGCTTGCCCAAGCTTTAAATTGTGTTCCCTTCTCCTTGACTTATTTGACCAGAAAACTCCCTATAAATAGGAAGCTTAGTGAAGACAAATGACATGGTTCAAGTTCAGTGAGGAAGAAACAGAGAGAGAGAGAGATTTGGGAGAGATCTCAGTGAGAATTTTTTTTGTAATAATTCTTGTATTTTATTTCCAGATAGAAATAGAGATATCCTCTTTGTTTATATCTTGTTTGTGGTATTTTTCTGGCCCTGGGTATCCAACAGATATTACCAGATTTTCATTCCTTAGAGAAGTGGTTGCTTATGGCAATCAATTGAATGGCATTTCGCACCAAAAGTGCGGACAAAATTCACCTCTTGCTCTCTTGGATTTGGAGGGAAACCAACTCAAAGGGCCATTGCCCGACTTTACAGGATGTTCATCCTTGATTAGTCTGTACATTCCTGACAATCTGTTAAGTGGGCCCTTGCCTCAATTATTGGATGTTCATCCTTGACAAGTTTGCAACTTTCTAAAAACCAATTCAATGGTTCTTTGCCCGACTTTACAAGATTGTCATCCTTAAGTATGCTGGACCTTTTCAACAATCAGTTAAATGGAATCTTGCACGACTTTACAACACTGTCATCCTTAAGGGTGTTAGACCTTTCCAACAATCAGTTAAATGGGATCTTGCCAGACTTAACAAGATGTTCATCCTTGAGAGATTTGTTACTTTTTAATAATCAATTAAGTGGAACTTTAACTGCAAGCATCGGACAACTTTCCCGTCTTCAAAGGTTGGAACTTTCTAACAACTCTCTCGAAGGTGTTATCTCTGAAGCTAATTTGTTGAATCTCACCAAATTAACATATTTGGACTTATCTTTAAACTCTTTAGCTTTTGAGTTGAGCTTCGGATGGGTTCCTCCTTTCCAGCTTGAAACTACAAAATTGAGGTCTTGCAAATTGGGCCCTCATTTCCCAAAATGGCTTTATTCCTAGAGAAAAATTTTCTATCTTGATATCTCCAGCACTGAAATTTCTGATATCATCCCTATGTGGTTTTGGGAACAAGCTACAACTTTGCTATATTTGGATGTGTTGTCGAACCAAATCAGAGGCATTATACCAGATTTATCATTGGAATTTGCTTATGGCTCGGGGCTATGTTTGAGTTCTAACCATTTTGAGGGTCCTGTACCACAATTTCTTTGCAATGTGACATCATTGAATCTCTCTAGAAATAAGTTTTCAGGATTATCTTTCCTATGTGCAACTACCAAGGGGTTTCTATTCTACCTTGATCTTTTAGATAACCTATTCTCTGGGGGGGCTTGTTGATCATTAGGTGCATTATCCAGAACTAATTTTTCTAAATTTGGCGCATAATAAGCTCTCAGGGAAAATTCCTCTCCCTTTGGGTTCCTTATATTCACTTACAACATTGAATTTACGTAACAACAGCTTTTTTGGAGAGTTGCCTTTGTTGCTTAAAATTTGCCAGTTGTTAATGTTCATGGATTTTGGAGTGAATAGATTGTCTGGAAACCTACCGCTTTGGATAGATGGAAAACTTCTCGTCATTATTTTTTGTCCCTATGGTCCAATGAGCTTGATGGACACATACCCTTAAATTTTTGTCATCTAACAAATATTCAAATCTTGGACCTTTCTCTAAACAAGATCTCTAGAACTATCCCAGAATGCTTCAATAATTTCAGTTCCATGGCTCATAAAGGACCTGAACTCAGGGACCATTATAATCCATATGACTTGATAATTGGTCGAAATATGGGTGCTAGGATCCATGATAATAATGTTTTCGTTAGTTGGTAAGGAAGAGAGCTAGTATATGGTAGTGGCCTTACATTGTTATGGAGCATTGATCTATCAAGCAACAACTTAACCGGAGAAATTCTAGCAGCAATCTTGATTCTTGAAGAATTAATTGCACTCAACTTGTCAAGAAACAAGTTATATGGAAGAGTTCCTCAAAAGATTGGCCAGTTGAAATCGCTTCAATCTCTCGACTTGTCGAGAAACCAATTTTTGGGAGGAATTCTTGACAACATGGCTGGATTAAATTTTTTGAGTTACCTTGACTTGTCGTATAACTATTTTTCAGGGAGAATCCCATTAGGAACTCAACTCCAAAGCTTCGATGCTTCTACGTACAATGGGAACGTCAGGCTTTGTGGTCCTCCACTTACGCCAACATGCCCTGGAGATGAAGCTCTCCATGTTCCTCCTGGAATTGGTGACAATAGAGAAGACCAAGAAGAGGGAGATACAGTTTGGAGATGGTTTTATATTAGTATGTCAATTGAGTTCATTGTTGGATTTTGGGGATTCTGTGGCCCTCTACTGCTCATTAGTCCTTGGAGGCATGCCTATTTTCACCTCCTAGACAACTTAGAAATTTGGCTTTACACCACAAGAATTGTGTGAATTGCCAAATGGAGAAGGAAGCTTTAGGTATGCCACTCTTGTTTTTGTTTAATTTTTATTTGGGTTAATTGTTAACATTTTTTTCCATTTTTACTACAGGCACACTCACTGAGGAAGTTTAACGCTAAAAGTAGAATAAGCTGTTAATCTTAATTCGGGTTTGCAATGTTTGTTTACAAAATTTTTATTTCAGATAATTTTCACTTGTTTAAAATGGTTGTCTCTGATTTTCATGTGTCATTTAGGTTTACTGCCTTTGGTGTTGCTAGATTTGGCCGAAGCTCATAGTTATATCCCTTGGTTTAAATATCAAAATTCGTATACTACTTTTTTTTTTTGGGTTAAATACTTATAATTAGTATTAGGTCATGATTTGTGAAAGAGAGAAATGGAAAACAGGACAAGTTACATTTATTGATGTTAATTTTGAAATTGCATGAATCTTTGTCTTGTAAACCCTATGTGAAACAATAGGGGATAATATGTCTCTAATAAAATAGGAATTAAAGAAAATTAAGACCAAATTCAAGCACTTTATGATAGTCAAACAAACAATCAGATTCACAAAGCAAATATTCAAAGAGTATAAAAATCACATGCAAATAAGTGTAAAAATAAATACAACAATTTTGATTTGCAAATTTTGAATCTCAAATGAATAAAACTATAGGATCACGTAGTTTTATAAACTCTCATTAACTATTCAATGACTATCAGTGTCACACATTATTTAGGATTTAAAAATTTAATAAACATTTTGGTAAACACATCATCCTCCTTATGAAATGCTTATTAACTAGTTCTCTACTACAATTCGTTTTCATTTACAAAACTACTCGAAATCCGCCTCAATACTTAAGTCAATCATTTAGTGGTTTGAATGTCTAATCACTTCTCCAACCCAAATGGGCATTCTCCATTTCATATTGAATCTATTAACCCCTAACAAGTGCTTATATTTGGTATATATTATTGTAGCCAAAGTTCTTCATCTTATACAAACTTGATACCATCTTTACCTTTAAAAGGTGTATTTGTTTTCATTCGCCTCATTCGTATTTCCACTCGTCCTCTCACTATGTATTACGATAGGTTGGATTTCTAAGGGGAACCTTTTCCTTGGATATATTTTAATTATTTTGTAACGATAATACAAAAACTTAGTAATTTTTTAATTGTCTCATTATGTTAAATTCATAAAGTGAATGTGAATAATTAATGAAATTACACCAAGATTTAATGTTATGACTTGTATAAAATTAATCATTAATACGTTAATTGAAGCACTAACTATGATTCTATATTATGTAGATTTATTTTTAGAAATTTTAAATAAATAAATGGGCATCAAATATAATTTTTTTACAAAAAATGAGTCAAGTAACTATAATATTGATCATATTATGATATTTTTTCCAAACCTTGATAAGATTTGAGAAAAGTTATCCTACTGGTTTGGGTTGCTCACTCTCACTTAATATTTTTCAGAGCCGGATCAAGAAGTCGAGGATGTCACTGAGGATTATCAGTATAAAACTTGATTTTCTGGATTGTAGTTGTCTTAGATTATCTTGAGTGATATGAGGTTTTGGTATTAGACTTTTGGATCTTTTATTTCTGCTGCACTACTATTAAGAATGTTGTAATGTAAACTTAGCGGTGGTGTGAGAGTTGTATGTTATGAGATAGACGATTAAAGTGGGTTATGTACTCTCTAATGGATTGTTATGATAGATTTATGCTCTCGCAGGGATTATTTTCACCATCATATTCATTGTCTTTGAAATGAATGTCTTGTATTTTGTATTTTAAATACGCAAGCTCATCGAAAATTTTGAAATGTGTCTTTTTCAAATGTGGAAAGATCTTATTTTACCTAACATTTTCTTAATTTAAAATCCAGTGGAAATTCATTTCCGTAAAGACATACTTTTAATTACATCACTCCAGTTTTATGAAAAACAAGTCATGACACTCTGTGTGTGTGTGTGTGTTTAGTATCTTACTTTGTGTGGGTGTATGAGTGTGCTTTGATGTAGTAGTGTCTCTCTCTCTCTCTCTCTCTCTCTCTCTCTTGGTGTATTAAGGTGTGTATTTGTGTGTGTTGTGTGGGTGCTGTGTAAAATTTGGTATTTGTTTAAAAAAGTAATTTTTTTAATTTGTAGAAAAAAGTACTATTATTTTTATTTTGCTTTTTAACAGTTTTTTCTGATACAAAAACAAGCACTAGTTTTTTTTTTAAAAAAAAAGGGTAAAAAATAAAAGCACAAAATAAGTAATTTAGAAAAACGTTACCAAACTGTGGGTAAACTTACATGTTTTAATGGAAGTAAATACTTATTGATCCTCATAATGGAATATGAAATTCATATTTCACAGAGAGAGCGTGGAGGCAAATGGGTTGAAGTTGAATAGGGCACACCCATATTTGAGCACACGACACACCTGACATGACACACCCATTTGAGCAAACATATACCAATTTGATGACGACCCACCCATATTACCATTTTGGGAAACGTAGCAATTGATGCAGTCTCTAGTGTTGCCTTTGCTTGAAATGCCATGAGGACTGCACGTGACTTATTGGGTGTTTTTTTTTTGGTGCTGTGGAAGGAACCTCAGTAAAAGTTACTTAGGTTCCCTAATAAAGCTAATACTAGACATGTCTGCGGGGTTTAAGACAGGGTGACCCTATGTCTCCTTACCTTTTTTTCATTGCAATGGAGTGTTTATCTCTTCTTGTCCAGTTCAATATTAGTTCAAATCCAAGCTTCAGATTCCATTGGAGGTGTAAAACTCTCAAAATTGCCTAGCTTTCATTTGTTGATGACTTGATGTCATTTTGCTATGGCGACATGAACTCGGCCTCTGTGATTAAGAATTCTTTGGACCAGTTCAGTGTGGCTTCAGTGCTTCAGGTTAATGCAGGAAAAAGCAATCTTTTCATGTGTGCAATTAATGAAGATACTGCTAGTCACATCAGGAGTTTGTTTGGTGTTGAGGAAAGGAATTTGCCTATCAAATATTTAGGCGTTTCACTCTTTTCATCTGGTTTGAAGTATCAGCACTGCTCCAGTCTTATTTAAAAGGTGGAATGAAGAGTTAAGTCTTGGGTCAATCGTTCACTTTCACATGTAGGAAGAGTTCAGCTTGTTATATCCATTCTTTGCAGCGTGCACAACTTCTGGGTCTCTCATTTAAGTCTTCCACTGAAGGTTATTCATAGAACTGAACAAACCTTGAGATCTTTTATTTGGAAAGGCATTGATCTTAGTCATACAGGAGCAAAGATCTCTTGGAAAGAGGTATGTAATCCTAAAGACGAGGGAGGGCTTGGCATCAAAAGATTGAGGGACTGGAATAGAGCACTGCTTATGAGGCACTTGTGGCAACTTTTTAATGACAAGGAGAATTTATGGTCTCAATGGATTCACGCCTATTACATCAAAGGTAGAATCCTTTGGGACCTCAAAGCCACCCAAGCATGCTCTTGGAATTGGAGATTTTTGCTTAAACTTAGAGAACTGCTCAGGCCATGCATAATCCATAGGGTAGGAAATGGGAACTCTACTAGCTTGTGGTTGGATTACTGGCATCCCCTTGGTCCACTCCTTCAAAGAAGCAACCCAAGGATCTTGCTAGAATCCAGAATTCCACGGAACGCGAAGGTTAGCAGAGTTATTTTGAACAACCAATGGAATTGGACAATTGTTACTTCCATTCAAGTGCAAGAAATCATCAATGCAATGCCAAGCTACCTACCTGAGCAAGATACTGAGGACTCAGTCAAGTGGACTTTAACTGCAGGAGGTAAGTTTTCCACTAAATCTGCCTGGGAAGATATCAAGAGTGAAGGACCAACCGTGCAATGGTCTAAACTTGTTTGGTATGGTAAAGCTATCCCAAGAATGACCTTCATCCTCTGGCTTGCTATTAGATGCAAGCTGAGCATCAAGGACAGAATTCAAATATTTGCAGCTTAGATTGACCCACAATGTGTTCTATGTAGGAGAGCCGATGAAACACACAACCATTTGTTTTTTGAATGTAATTTCTCTAATAAGGTTTGGAATGGTGTTATGCCCCTGAGCAACCAGCAATGGCAGCAGAGACAATGGACTGATTCAATTTCATGGGCTACTCAACAATGGAGAGGAAAATAAATTAAGACAACTATGTTAAAGCTTAGTCTTTCTGTTACTGTCTATTCTTAGTAGACTGAGAGGAATGGGAGAATTTTCAAAAAATAGTGCAAAGACCCAAATACTCTATTTCAATCCATCAAGAAAACTATTAGAGAAAGGCTAATATCTTTGAATTTCAAGAGAACTCAACAGAACGCAATTCTGTTGCAACATTGGAACCTTCCTGAAGCTTGTTTGATTTGAGCTAGCTTTGGCTTCCCAATGGTTACTATGTCTGCTGCCCACTGTTATAGCTTGATGGTTGTTGCTACTATGTTGAGTTGGACTTTTTTTCCTTGTTTTGTTTTTTACTACTGCAAATGGGTTATTGCTACTATGTTGAGTTGGGCTGGTTTGCCTTGTTCTGTTTTTCTACTGCAAATGGTTTGTTGCTGTTATGTGGAGCTGGGCTATTTTTGCTTTGTTCTGTGGCTGTTCGCTTGATGTTTGCTGTTGCTATGGCTGTTTTGATTTTTGCTGCTGTTTTTGCTTTATTCTGGGTTGTTTTCGCTCTGTTCTATGGCTGTCCGCTTGATGTTTGCTACTGCTATGTTGAGATTGGCTGCTTTGCTTTGTTCTGATTTTTGTTGTTACTATGGCTTGCTACGCTGCTGTTTTTGCTTTCTAGGCTGTCCGCTTGATGTTTGTTGTTGCTATCTTGCATATCAGTAGTTTAGGGGGCAGATTTGGCCCTTGTTCATTTCTATTGATTGAGTTTTAAGAATTGGTTTCATGCTCTTTTTTTGTCTACCAATGTATTCTTGTCAACAATTCTGTGGTAGATGCTCTCATTCTACAGACTTGTGTCTTGAGCCCTGGATTTTTGAGTTTTCTTGTTTTTGTCTTTGGGTCCTAAGTCATTTCATTGGACATTTTGTGGGTGATTACCCTTGTATATCCGTTTTATATTAATACATTTTACCTTCCGAAAAACAAAAACCATATAGTCAGGCGGTTCATCAAGAAAAACTAAATCCACAGACTGATTAATGCCTAAATTCGTGAAGCCATCAGTGTATTGTTTTTCCTCTCTAAGCATATGTACCACATAAATGTTGAAATAATTGATGATAAATTTACAATTGTCCACCAGGACTTTGAAAGGGTAGCTAGCTGATCGGTTCTAGTCAACAGATTGAAAACTTCTAAGGAGTTTGTCTCTATCCAAAATCAATTAAAGGCCTTGTTTTTTTGAACACAGGACAGCTACAACCAACACCAGTTAAAGGCCTTGTTGAATGGCCCAGAGTTCAACTTTAAGGCTTGTGGTGTGGTTAATTGTGCCCATAAAGCCCTTGATCTATTTCCCTCTTATTAGCAACAAACCACAGCTCGACACACTCAACATTAGTGAGACTCAATGGAGCAATAAAGAAGCACAAGATTCTTGGAGAAAAAAGGGGGAAGACTCTCACAATATTGTCGAAATCAATGGAGAGACGTTGAGGGGCATTGGAGCTCTAACGTTTAAACCAAAATAATGATCCAGCAAGTCCTAAAAATCAAGAAAAATTAGAACATTTGTAGCAGTAGATTTATGAGAAATCATACCATTTGTAGCAGAAATTAGTGGAGAGACGTTGAAAGGCATTGGAGCTCTAACGACAATAAGTTTAAATCAGAATAATGATCCAACAAGTCCTAAAAATCAGGAAAAATCAGACCATTTGTAGCAACAAATTTTATGAGAAATCAGACCATTTTGTAGCAGATTTTATGGAAATCATTTTGTTGTATTACTTCTTTAAATACTCCTCCTATAATGCCTAATGGTTCATGTTGCCAATTATTGAATAAGAAATATATCAAATCAAGCTTTCTTCTTCTACTGTTTTTATCTTTTTTCCTCTTGGTATCAGAGCCATATTGAACCTTTGGTAACAAACCACAACTCTTTCTTCCTCTCACCATGGCTACACTATCTCTCAATGTTGGCAACTTCATCACTCTAAGACTCACCCCAAATAACTACCCCTTGTAGTGTGATCAAGCATTAGCTCTTGCCGAAAGCCAAGAATTAGTGGGACATCTCACAAATGAAGATCCTGCACCAAACAAGTATGTCATACCAGACTCAAGCAACTCCTCAAATGCAGGCAATACAAATCCTTAATTAACAGATGCGTTCATCGCACGGCGAAAGTCTGATCGTCTTCTTTGAGAGTGGATCATTGGAACACTCTTTGAGGAAGCTCTCGGCCTCGTCGTTTGTCTTGATACATCACATTCAGTTTGGGAGGCCCTCAAAAGTGCATATGCCCAAGAATCACAAGAATGTGAATTCACTTTGCGCCAACAGCTTACTTACCTTCGAAAAGAAGACCACACAACAATCACAGAGCACATCCGAACCTTTAAAGGTCTCTGTGACAATTTAGCAGCAATTGGGAAGGAGGTTCCAGACCAAGAAAAGGTATTTTGTCTTCTCACCAGTCTTGGTCCACAATATGAAACGTTCACAACAACCATGTTAAAACCTCCACGACCATCCTATTTTGAGTTGGTTTCTCAACTCCAAAATTATAATCAAAGGCGAAATTGGTTTTCCAACCACACCGACGTTCAAGCATCAACACTCACACATCAAATAGCATTTTATGGTCAACAACAACTATGTTCTCAATCAAACAACTCAAGATATCATGTACTAGCACAAAAATTTACGTCAACTAGATGTGGATTCCAAGCACAACAAAACAAGGATTCAAGTCAAGCATACAACTTTTCTCCAGCAAGTGCACAATGCCGACCTCCACCACCAAGTGAACGTCGCATGACATCTTCCGAGANCAAGTCAAGCATACAACTTTTCTCCAGCAAGTGCACAATGCCGACCTCCACCACCAGGTGAACGTCGCATGACACCTTCCGAGAGGGAGAAATATCATGATCAGCAATGTCAATACTGTGGAATGATGAGTCATATTGTGAAGATATGCTGGTGGGTACCAAAAAAATCAACTCCTTAAGATGAAATTCCACAAGCACTTGCGGCACTAACACTGGACAATACCATAGCAGACACGGAATGGACTACCAACACTGGAGCTACCAATCACATGACAGGTAAGTCAGGTATGTTAACTAACATTCGTCATTACTCTGGTTCTGATTCANAAATCAACTCCTTAAGATGAAATTCCACAAGCACTTGCGGCACTAACACTGGACAACACCATAGCAGACACGGAATGGACTACCGACACTGGAGCTACCAATCACATGACAGGTAAGTCAGGTGTGTTAACTAACATTCGTCATTACTCTGGTTCCGATTTANCACTTGCGGCACTAACACTGGACAATACCATAGCAGACACGGAATGGACTACCAACACTGGAGCTACCAATCACATGACAGGTAAGTCAGGTATGTTAACTAACATTCGTCATTACTCTGGTTCTGATTCAGTGTTAATAGGAGATGGATCTTCCATGCCAATCCTTGCAATTGGAGACTCTTATGTAAAATAAAAAAAATCAGCCTTACCTCTAAATGATGTGTTATTAGTTCCTAATCTAAAAAAGAATTTGCTCTCTGTAAGTCAGCTAACCACTTAGTTTCTTGTCAACTATGAATTTCTAATGTGGATTTTTGTGTTAAAGACTGAGAAACAAGACAAGCAATGATGACAGGAAAACACAAGAGTGATCTCTATGTTCTATCCACTTCACCGGAACTTTATTTCTCTAATCGCTTCAAGTCTGGCACAACAAAAATTTGGCATCAACGCCTCGNTCTGTAAGTCAGCTAACCACTTAGTTTCTTGTCAACTATGAATTTCTAATGTGGATGTTTGTGTTAAAGACCGAGAAACAAGACAAGCAATGATGACAGGAAAACGCAAGAGTGATCTCTATGTTCTATCCACTTCATCGGAACTTTATTTCTCTAATCGCTTCAAGTTTGGCACAACAAAAATTTGGCATCAACGCCTTGGCCACCCTCAATCTTCAGCTTTGCAAATGTTAAAAAATAAAGGTTTAATTGATGTTGTAGGGACAACAAAATCACAACATCTTTGTGATAGTTGTTAACTAGGAAAGCNAAATAAAGGTTTAATTGATGTTGTAGGGACAACAAAATCACAACATCTTTGTGATAGTTGTCAACTAGGAAAACTTAGTCGTTTACCTTTTTCTTGTTTGGAACATTCGAGTACAAGTATTTTTAAGAAAATTCATTGTGATTTGTGGGGACTTGCTCCAATTCTTTCTATTGCAAAATTCAGATATTATGCTTATTTGGTTGATGATTTTTCAAAGTATACATGGATTATTCCTTTAAGGCAAAAATCTGTTTTTTTCAATGCATATCTAACCTTTGAAAAATATGTTGCAAGACAATTCAACAAGCAAATAAAAATCCTTCATTTCGATGGAGGAGGTGAGTTCGTTAATTCCAAGCTATCAACTCACTTTCTTTCCACAGGCATTGTTCACCAAATATCAGCTCCATATACTCCCGAGTAAACTGGTATGGTTGAAAGACGACATAGAACTATAAGAGAATTAGGTATGACTATGTTGTTTCATTGTGGTGCTCCTTTATTTTTATGGGTAGAAGATTTTTCCATANTGGTTGAAAGACGACATAGAACTATAAGAGAATTAGGTATGACTATGTTGTTTCATTGTGGTGCTCCTTTATTTTTATGGGTAGAAGATTTTTCCATAGCAGTATATCTCATGAATCGACTACCCTCATCAACTCTCAATTTTGAAACCCCATATTTTGCATTGCAAGGAAAACATCAAGTTTATTCATCACTTTGCGCCTTTGGATCTAAGTGTTTTCCTTACACTTGGGACACACGGCGTCACAAGTTTGATCCTAAAACGCTTCTTTGTTTCTTTGTAGGCTACAGTGAAAAACATAAGGCTTATAAATGTTTTCATCCATCAAGCAAAATTTTTTTTATCTCCCGGCATGTTGTCTTTGTTGAGCAAATTTTTCCGTATAAGCCTACAAATAATTTTTGTGTGACAATGGCAAAGCCATTGGCTATAAATATTTTTGACACTTGGTTACCACATACTGATATTCATCTTTCTACAGGGACACATTCGACCTCCTCCACTGCTCCATGTTTAAGTCCTNTTTTTTTTATCTCCCGGCATGTTGTCTTTGTTGAGCAAATTTTTCCGTATAAGCCTTCAAATAATTTTTGTGTGACAACGGCAAAGCCATTGGCTATAAATATTTTTGACACTTGGTTACCACATACTAATATTCATCTTTCTACAGGGACACATTTGACCTCCTCCACTGCTCCATGTTTAAGTCTTTTACCACAACTTCAAGACACAGCAACAATCCCACAAAATTCCATGTTACCCGAACCTTCACCACAACCTCTCCTCAATGTAGTACCTCAAACCACCACAAGAAATTTTGAAAATGATCTTCCCAAAATTGTTGATAGCATTGACACATCGAAAAATCCATTATCACATGAGACACACATACCAGAAACCTTAGAAATACCATAAACCGTAGCCCCACAGCCAGCAACCACATCGACAGGATCACCAAACCCAACACCAACCCCTTTAGAAAACATACATCCTATGGTCACTAGATCAAAACTAGGTGTGGTAAAACCCAACCCTATGTATGCCTTGACCATAATCACGTCTGCCAATGTACCGCGTGAACCACAAAATATCAAAACAGCCTTAGCACATCCTAGTTGGAAAACAGCAATAAATGAAGAGCTTGCTACTCTTCATCAAAACAAAACATGGAAACTCATTCCTCACACATCTAACATGAATTTCATTGGTTCAAAATGGGTATTCAAGTCAAAACTTAAGCCTGATGGGACTTTAGATCTCCTCAAAGCGCGGTTGGTTACAAAAGGATATCATCAAGTTGATGGAGTAGACTACATTGAAACTTTTTCTCCTATGATCAAACCAGGAACAATCCGGATGATTATAACTATCACTCTTGTTAAGCGGTGGTCTACTCAACAACTAGATGTAAAAAATGCTTTTTTGCATGGCCTAATTTCTGAAGATCTTTATATGCAGCAACCACCAGGAATGGTAGATCCGGAACATCCAAAATATATTTGTAAACTACAAAAAGCACTCTATAGGTTAAAACAAGCACCACGTGCTTGGTTTGATCGATTTAGTGCTTTTCTTCTTAAATTTGGATTTTTTTTGTAGTTTAGCCGATCCTTCATTATTTGTTTTTCACTCTGAATTTGGTTCACTAATCTTACTACTTTATGTGGATGATATATTGCTTACAGGATCTGCTCCAGAACTTGTTGAAAAGTTCATTACGTTATTAAGCAGTGAGTTCGCAATGAAAGATTTGGGACCAATTCACCACTTTCTTGGAATGGAAATCATGACAACAAATAGGGGGCTTCATCTATCTCAGTCCCACTACACCCTTACCATACTTGAACGCTCCAATATGGTTGATTGTAAGCCAATGAGTACACCTCTTGAAGCCAAAACCAAAACTTCTTCCAATGAAATTCTCTTGGAAGAACCAAGTTACTATCGAGGTCTTGTTGGAGCATTACAATATCTTACACTCACTTGCCCAAATATTTCATTTAGTGTTAATTATTTGTCCCAATTCATGCATACTCCCACAATGACACACTTAAAAATGGTCGACGTATCCTCCGATATGTCAAAGGAACAATTGAAATGGGATTACATTTTTCTTCACATAGTACACTTGATCTTTTTGCTTTCTCAGATGCAGATTGGGCAGGGTGTCCTACTACAAGACGATCAACCACAGGCTGCTGTACGTTCCTTGGAGGGAACCTCATCTCGTGGTGTGCAAAAAAATAACATACCATTTCGCGATCAAGAACGGAAGCAGAGTACCGCGCAAAGGCTAACACAGCTGTCGAACTCACTTGGATAACATTTGATGGGTCAAGCCCAAGAAGAACCCAATTTATTTGGAAAGCCCAAATCTCAATTGAAAAGCCCAGTCTTATAAAGACCCACTAAGCCCAATATTGTCAAAGTCTAGTCAAACTCATCAGTTTGGCTACGTCATCAGGAGAGAGCACGGGAGTCTTACCTGCACCACCAACAAAACAGTTCACCCTCACCTTATCCATGACCGCATCTCATGAAGAACACCTCAACCACCTCGTCCGTTGAGAAGAAGTTGTGAGCTCCACCTAAATGGTTGCTTAGTTACTGTAAAATAGCCCTAACCTGTTAGGGGGCCACTATAAATTACACGTCTCACCAACACTTGGGGGGTATCACACTTTACCTGAGTATGACTCTTTCCTCTCCCTCAAAGCTTGTAATCTCTGCTCCCCACACCATTGAGTTAATAAAGTACCCGGTGACTAGAGCCATTCAAAAGTGGACGTAGCTCGAGTTGACCGAACCACTATAAATTGTTTGTGTCTCTCTATTTCTTTACTTTAATTACTGTATTTATTATTCACATTTGACAGATGGTGTACAAAGCCATTTTGTGCATCATCAACATTCATTCTCAAAGATCTTCGAATTGCAATAACATCTCCTCCCATACTCTACTGTGACAACCTCAGTGCTCTTTATATGACAGTTAACCATGCATTCCATGCCCGAAGCAAACACATAGAGGTGGATTATCATTTTGTGCGTGAACAATTTGCATGTGGACTGCTTATCACTCAACATATCTCCAGTGATAACCAAGTTGTTGATCTCTTCACAAAGCCAATGTCAAAAGCAGCCCTTCAATATTCTCGAAACAAACTTTGCCTCCAACCCCGACAAAGTTTGAGGGAGGTTATTAGCAACAAACCACAGCTCAACACATTCAACATTAGTGAGAGTCAATGGAGCAATAAGGAAGCACAAGATTCTTGGAGAAAAAAGGGGGAAGACTCTCACAATATTGCTGAAATCAGTGGAGAGACGTTGAGGGGGATTGGAGCTCTAACGACAATAAGTTTAAACCAAAATAATGATTGAGCAAGTCCTAAAAATCAGGAAAAATCAGACCATTTGTAGCTAGCAGATTTTATGAGAAAGCAGACCATTTGTAGTATAAATCAATGGAGAGACGTTGAGAGGCATTGGAGCTCTAACGACAATAAGTTTAAACCAGAATAATGATCCAGCAGGTCCTAAAAATCAGGAAANATCAATGGAGAGACGTTGAGAGGCATTGGAGCTCTAACGACAATAAGTTTAAACCAGAATAATGATCCAGCAGGTCCTAAAAATCAGGAAAAATCAGACCATTTTGTAGTAGATTTTATGGAAATCATTTCGTTGTATTACTTGTTTAAATACTCCTCTTGTAATGCCTAATGGTTCACGTTGCCAATTATTGAATAAGAAATATATCAATTCAAGCTTTCTTCTTCCTCTGTTTTTATCTTTTTTCCTCTCCTCTATCGTCTCTAAGGATGCCATCAATCCCAGCAAGTTCAGGCTTGCCTTTGGAGCTTCCATCAGTGTTTATCTTACAGTAACCTGCAGGTGGAAAAACCCACTTAATCAATCTCACTGAACTGCAACTTCTCAGCTTGCCTATTATCAAAAGCTTCAATGATCTCTTTGGGAAGTGAGATGGAAGGCTATGCAGTATGAGAAAGCACAGACACATGAATCACTACCAAAGTAAAGAGACAAGTAGTGAAAAATTATAAAATGTTTAAGCAATCAACTGTGACAAGTTGATTGATCCATAACGAAAACACTTGTAGATAGAAGTCATTTACAATTGGTGGACTCTTTCTACAATGAGACCAAAATCGAACATAACCGTCTGAGAGTTGTGTATGTATCCCACTAGGTAGAACAACGGGTGCCAGCACCATTATTGCACATAAGTGAATAATATTTTATAGTATTACACAAGTGCATCATTCATATCTCAATAATGAAACCCAATAAATATAACAGCAAATAATTGACTTGACAAAAATAAATAAATAAAATTGATATGAAAAAATATCCTAACCCCACAAATCACTAACAAAGACATCAAAATGAAGCTTTCAAACAACTAGATCACAATTTGTTGGCTTTTTTTTTTCCTGGGCAAATTCAAGTTGATTCTTTGATCTCCAAAATTTAAAGCAACTCTAATTATTATAGAACATGAATAATTACATCATCCTACGGAAAATCTACAAATCCAAAATTGAAGATTTAGGTGGTGTTTAATAAAATTGAAAGTTGAAGTCTGAAAACTGAAAGTTAAAGTTTGAAAGCTGAATGCTGAAGTTTGAAAGCTGAATGTTTAATTTGTGAACGGTTTAGTACCCACTAAATTTTAAGTATTGAATTAAACTAAACTGTTTGATAACTACACAGAGCTGACGTTTGAAAATAAATTAATTTTCAATTTTATCCTTCCACTCTTTAATTTAAAAATATTTATAAAATATGCACAATAAATAAATAATAATATCTAATAAAAAATAATAACTAATAAATAATTAAATAACAATAAGTGAATAATAATATCTGATCAAAAAAAAATAACAACAAATAAATAATCGAATCACAATGAGTGAACAATAATACATTAAATAACATAATTAGTGAACAATGACATGTGATAAAAACAGAATAATAACTAATAAATAATCGAATAACAATAAGTGAACAATAATAATTAAATAATACAATAATTAAACAATAACATCTGATCAGAAAAAAAGAGAACAACTAATAAATAAACTAATTGAAAAAATAAATTAAATTAAATTTCATTAAAAATGTGTGTGTGTGTGTGTGTGTGTGTGTGTATGGGTGATGTGTGTTGCAACATTTGTGTTTGCAGTAGACAAGAGAAGAACAAAAAGAAGAAGAATAAGAAAACAAGGGAACTTAACGATTGAAGAAGATTTACTTGTCGTTGAAGAAGACAATCGGCAAGGAGGATAGATAAGTTAATGGTTTTGTAGAGAAGACTAATTAAAGTTTTAATAGAATTATATAATATTTCGGGATAGAATTGTCATATGTTAAATATTATTAAAAATAGTTTTGTTGACTGCTTTTAACTTTCAAAATTAAGTAAAAGATCCACTATTTAATATTGTAACTTATTTTTAACGAGCACTTAACATATTAAAAAAATTTAAATTTTAATTATCTAATTAATAAGTATCGACTATATTCGTTTTAAGTGTTGAATTTGAGTTAACAAACACACCTTTAATTATGATTTAAAAATCTACTTTCTATTTTCATTTATTGATACTTTACTCATACTCACTAAATTGGATGATCCAATTCAAAAATTGTTTTTCCTCAATTTCATAACTCAAATTTTCAATTTCTAAGTCACCATTGGATATAAATTACAATAATGTATACTTTTCTTTGAATCTGTCATTGCGAGGTAAAGGATTAAATCATTTTGAGAAAAAAAAAATTTGGCTAATCACGCCAAAAGACCTATTACTCAAGTTGTTTCCTATTTATCTTCAAAAAAAAAAAAAGTTGTTTCCTATTTATTTTTTTTTTAATCCAACAAATTTTTA